GTTTTTTATTTAAAAAATAAAAGATAATAATTTCATCCAATAAAACATATGGTTTATATATATAAAAATTCAATGTATTTATAATTTGAGATGAACATCCATGTTAAACTTAAGAAAAGCCTTTATGAAAAAGACTAAGGTGTCGTTTGATTATCGGGAATGAAAGGTTCGAAATGAAAATGTAGGAATCAAAATGAAAATTAAAGAATTGGAATAGCATTTGTATTCTCATACCGTGTTTGGAATACTAATGAGGAATCGAAATGCAATTTAAATTATTTAATATTTGATTTTTTTATACAAATAAAAACAATAATTAAAAAAAAGTAATTTTATCAAACTATAATGGTTGTAAAAATAATAAAGGTGATGGTGGTGGTAGTGGTTATGATAGCAAGTGGTTCTAGTGGTTATGGTAGCAGTGGTTCTAGTGGTGGTGGTGGTAGTTGCGGTGGTGGTGGTGGTTGTGATGGTGGTAATGGTAGTTGTAGTGGTAAAAGTAGTTAATAGACAATAAATAAATAAAATATATTATTATTTTGAAAAAAAAATTATTCCCATTCTCTATTTTTATTCCTACATCTTATATGGGAATGAAGTTGTGTGTAAATTTTCATTCTCATTACTACTCTTCATTCCCATTTTCACTTCATTTCTTTTAACCAAATAGCTATAACGTGAAAATAAAACTTTCGTTCTCATTTCCATCACTCTATTCCCGGTTACCAAACAACACTTAAGAAAAGTACCCTAAATGTTCATTTTTTAGTTCTTCACTTCACTTTCTATGTACTTTTAAAATTGTTTCACATTTTTAGCTTTTGTTTTTCAATTAACAAAGAGGTGAATAAGTTACAAATTAGTCTCTTTTATTTTGAAAAACGAATTAATTAGTTCCTTTTTTTTCAAAAACTAATCCATTAGTCCTCTACAATCTAATTCTGTCAATAACTTAATTATTTTATTAGTTTTTTGTTAAAATAATGATAATGTGTCTTTATTGTAATATTTTTTGTTTTAAATTGTCCTTTTTATGCATTATTTCTCTTCTTTACGAGCACATTTCATTTCTTTCTTTCTCCTCGTGTTTACAAATCATCATTTTTCTCTTTGAGTCTTTACTTTTTATTTTATTAATATCCATTTTCATCTCTCTTTTTAGTGCCTATGGATGAGATATGTATGTTAAAGGGTACTTTAGATATTAGGGTTAATTTGACATGTCGATCTGTCAAAAAAGTTTAACCGTAGAAGATTAAATGATAATTTTTGAAATAATGAGGACTAATTAATTTGTTTCTTGAAGCAAGAGGTACTGACTTATAATTTGCTCTAGAGAAACTCCTCCATGCTTGGTTGTACATTTGCCAAAATGACCCAAAAAACACTCCAGTGTTTTTCAGTCTTTGGCTAATTACTGTAGTCTAAGTCCTAAGTCTTACAAGCCTTGTTTGACGGTTTCAAAATGAATGAAGTTTCGTTTGGGTCGTCTCTAACCTGCATTAATCAATCCAGAAAAAGACTTTTGAATTGGAAAATTGTATCAAAACATACTATTTTCTTTCTTATTAATTATTCCAACAATAATTTAACTCAAATTTGGAACCAATTCAAATGAAATAGAAAAAGAAAAGAAAAGAAATCAGTCTACTACTGCTGATATGATCGTTAATTTCTTTCTCACCCTCTTTTTTCACTGAAATTAATTTTGATGCAATGAGTATCTGTTGGACTAAATGTTTGGTTTTTTACTTTCTTGTTCTTCAACATCTTGTTTACTTAATCAGTGCCCAACTTCAGGATTATACAGTTGCGAAAGTCTCAGATTCATGGAAAGTTGACACAGCTGCATATGTTTTTAATGATGGATCACTGGTGAAACCTATCCTTTTCAGGAGAACCTCTGCCACACAAATGATCGCTTGTGGTTTCTTTTGTAGTGGAACCTGTGACTATTACATCTTCACCATTTTTACTCTTAACAGGTATTATCCATCAGCCAACATAAATGATTACAATTTCCTGGTAGTAGCTTGGTCTGCCAACAGAAACTATCCTGTTCGAGATGATGCTACGTTGATCCTGACATCGGGTCGGGGTTTGGTCTTGAAGAATGCTGATGGAAGCATAGCTTGGACGACGAACACTTCTGGCAAATCTGTTGCTGGCTTGAACTTGACTGATATGGGCAACCTGGTGCTTTTCGATGATAATAATGCAACAGTTTGGCAATCCTTTGATCACCCAACTGATTGCTTACTTCTTGGCCAAAACGTGATGGCAGGGCAGAAACTCACTTCTGTTGTTTCCTCCTCAAATTCGACCGAACTTGACTCTTTCTCTCTTTCTGTCACTGACAAAGGATTGTTTGCTTCCATAGATTCCAATCCGCCACAAGCGTATTATCAACTTCGAGGAAATGCTACGAAAACGAATAGGGAGCCAAATTTTGTAAGATTTCTGAATGGAAGCTTAGCTTTGTTCTCCAGTTCTTCTGCATCAACTGAAGTACCATATGCACAGATTTTCATTCCCAAGGCATCAAAAGCACAGTACATGAGATTTGGCTCTGATGGGCATTTGAGAGTTTACGATCTGGATTATCATGGATGGACAGAGGTTGCGGATCTGTTTACGGAGGAAATTGACGAATGTTCTTACCCAACAGTGTGTGGCAAATATGGTATTTGCTCGAACGGTCCATTCTGTACTTGTCCTGAACCGACCTATTTCAAGCCAGTAAATGAACGGCAACCTAACAATGGGTGTCTTGAAATTACTCCCTTGTCTTGCAACGCTTCACAGTATCATAGTTTTCTAGAGGTGCAAGGCACAAGCTACTTCAATTTTCAGTCCGACATTGAAAATGTCACTTTGGAGACTTGCAAGGTGATGTGTTTAATAAATTGTTCTTGCAAAGCTGTTATTTTCCGGTACCATTCTGATCCTGCTATGGGCAATTGTTACTTGCCATCCCAGATTTTTTCCTTGAGGAATAGTCAAAACAGTGGCTACCACTCTGTTTATCTTAAGGTGCATAAGGGAGCGAAGAGAAGTGAAGTGCCAAAAATATTAGGATCCAGCGTCGGATCATTCATCGGTTTGCTTATTTTAATAGGAATCTTAGTTTTGCTAGTTTGGAAAAGAGGGAATGTTGATGAAGTAGAGGAAGTGTGTTTCGAAAAAGTAACCGGAACGCCCACTAGATTCTCTTATGAGGATCTGAAAGCCATGACAAGAAATTTCAGCAAGGTGCTTGGTGAGGGAGGATTTGGCAAGGTTTTTGAAGGGACTCTACTTGATGGCACCAAAATTGCAGTGAAGCAACTCAGTGGTTCAGGCAAAGTCAGGAAATCTTTTCTCACTGAGGTTGAGGCAATTGGCTGGATTCACCATGTGAATTTGGTAAGACTTATCGGTTTTTCTTCTGACAAAATCAATAGGTTTCTTGTTTACGAGCACATGTCTAATGGGTCTTTGGATAAATGGATATTCCATAAAACCTGTGAGATTGTGCTCGATTGGCATCAGAAAAAGAAAATCATCCTCGATATAGCCAAGGGACTGACCTATCTTCATGAAGAGTGTAGGCAGAAGATAATCCATTTGGATATCAAACCCCAAAACATCCTGTTAGATGATAACTTTAGAGCCAAAATCTGTGATTTTGGATTGTCAAAACTGATCGAAAGAAACCAGAGCAAAACGGTGACCATCATGCGAGGCACTCCTGGCTATCTAGCTCCAGAATGGTTGAACTCGGTAATCACAGAAAAAGTGGACATCTATAGCTTCGGAGTTGTTGTCTTGGAAATATTATGTGGGAGGAGGAATTTTGATCAGTCTCAGCCTGAGGAACAAATGCATTTACTGAGTCTTTTTGAGAAAAAGGCGAAGGAGAATCGATTGTTGGATCTAGTCAACAATAACAGCGAAGAAATGGGATTTGACAGAGCTGAAATGATGAATATTATGAAAGTTGCTGCATGGTGTTTGCAAAGGGATTACGCAAAGAGGCCTTCTATGTCAATGGTGGTAAATTTCCTGGAAGATGTTGTAGAATTTGAAGGCAACCTAGACGACAGCTTACCCAACCCAACTTTAAAAACAACGTTCGCAGAAGTTACTCCATTGGTGCCTTCTGTTCTATCTGGGCCAAGGTGACTGTTCTCCATGGCATCATCTCTGCAAGGGGAGAAGCTTTTCATCCTTAATCCGGCAGTGGTAAGGGTTTAATTTGTTTTGTAATCAAGTATAGCATCCTAGCATTTGCTAATATTTGTAATGATTATCTTTTTTCTTTAATTGGAGGAGATTAAGTGGATGATTATTAAACTGCTTAAATAGTTTGAAGAAGTTAGAATGAAATAACGTAATTAACACATTAATTGATATTAACAACTCTTAAGAAATTTAAAAAATCACATATCCGACATAATCAAAATAAACCTTAAAACACCAACATAATCAAGAAAAGACCTCAAGACTCTAGAAAAAAGTAGCCTAAACGGGGGAGGCGAGAACTTCTTGATCGAAATATCTACTGTTCTTAATAGGGAGAAAGAGTTTTCAAAATTCGATCAAATCGATCGAGAGTCTCATCATCTGTTAGGTGGGACAACCGACCGATCGAGTTGGACTTGGCGTCCATGTCACAGAAATATCCGAATCTTAAATCACATATCCTAGGTAAAAGCATTAGAATCAGAATTTCAAGTACTTGAGATTTAATATATGTAGATAACTTGAATAACATTCCAAAGCTTGATTCAAGAGATCATATATGGACTTACACGCAAAGATATCTTGCAGCTGAGGCAGCAGCAGCAGTGGTTGATGCTGAGGAAGGTGGAAATGAAGAAGAAGGAAATGTCGATAGAACGAGACTGTTCAGCTTCTAATCGCTTGTGCTAAAGCTGTGGCTTGTCATGACAAGGCACATGCCTCAGCCTTATTATGTGAGAACCACAGCTTCAGCGCAAGCAAAAGCTGAAGAAGTCTCATTCCATCAGCATTCCCTTCTCTTCACTTCCACCTTCCTCAGCACTGATCACGGCTGCTGAGCTGCTGCCTCTTTGACGGCCTAAGCTGCGAGATATCTTTGCGTATAGCTCCATATATGGTCTCCGATCCTCTTAGGATTTCAGATTTCATCCAGAAAAGGAAGGATACAGGAAAGACAGGAAGCCATAGCTGAAAGACTGAGATCAAGAACATTCGTTTCACTTTTATGGTTTCCATCCTTTGAACTCCCTTGACAAGAAACCATGAGCCATCTCTCTCTGTCACACACACACTTCTCTGTATCTGAAGATACATCAATAAAGCTTTGAAGGATCCTATCACGAAGCCAAGACATTATATAGAGTAGACCGGATCTTCTTGTTCGTTAATCACTAGGCCTATGCGTTTTTTCATATGAAAACATGAAGGATTTGACGATAATGTCTTATTGTCTGCATTAGATGTCTGCCTAATCTGTGGCATAGATAAAACAGAAGACAATACAGAAGATGTAAAATCCAGCAGTACAGATGAGAATACAGAAATTCGGGACATTTTCCACCCAAATTCTTTGAGGTTACTAGGATTAGCTAATTCACCTAAAGCATGAGTCGGATGGTTTCCATGTCTTTTCGTCGCAGAAAAGTCTTGGAAATTACTAATCGACTCCATGCAATCATCGACGATGAAAGCTACTTCTGCACCGGCATTCAAAGGGGAAGTGAGGGCATTTACCACATTTTAACATCTCTCTTAAAAGTAAGAAACTTGAGTGATTGTATTGTTTTCTTGATTCTAGTGGATTATCTCGAAATTGATTTCGTAGTTTTTTCTTCTACCATAGAGAGAGTGTTCTATATAAATTTAACGTTTTTATAGTTATGCTTTTGTGATTGATTTATTTTATATTTTTAATTGTTGTGTGCGTTTAGCTTGATTATTTTTTTATGAAATCTAATTTATACTTTTAATTCGAAGTTACTTACTTAAACGATTAGATGCCAGCCTTCTTGGAATCCTAGGATGTACTTTTGTAGTTGGAGACATTAATATTAGTGAACAGAAAAGGAAATGGTTAATGATTCAATCAATCAGCAAATTATGACTTCTGGTCAGCCATTTTTTTGCGTGAGGAATAGTTAGCATGGCTAAATCTAACATTTTGCTTGGCTTTTGGCCAGCCATTGCATAGGTGGAATTGAATGTGGTTTGTTTGTTATGGAAGGCTAACCTGGAAACATTGGTTTAAATGATGTACAGAAACTGAAGACCAACTATGTTTTCCCTGTCTTTAGTTTTTAACCTGACACATTTTGAAGTGCCTTGTCAAGATGAAGTAGACAGGTGAAATTAATGAACATGAGTTGTTGGGAAAGATGGATAGATGTCCCCTTGCACAAAAAATGCTCCTTCCCTCTTGTTGTTACTGTTAGCTTGCATCTGTAGGTTTATTGCTACAATGGATAGATTCAGTCTCCAATCCATTGCAATGGATACTGGGATTAAATGTTTGTCTTTTCTTATCAGGAACTGATCATTACAGAATTAACTGACTTATCTGGAGATTACACGATCACTGCAACAAAAGAAAAGGCATTCCATTCTATTTCCATGTGATAAAATGAGTGAGCCTCTTGACTGTTTACAAAACATTCTAATTATTGGAAAGAACATAGATACTCAAATGTTAAATTCGCTAGCATAATTTATAAAAGTGGTGCCAACCAAGTGATAACAATTGGGCTTCTTACTTTGTGCGTTCCATCCTTCCAAACCAATCCTCCAAACTCAGGCATTGTTTGCCTAATCTTTGTGATGAAGATGATCCTGTAAGATAGTTTCTGATTTTTTCTAGTGAAGTTGAGGATTTCTGGTTCAACTTTGACTGTTGCTCCTTTGAATGGTGAGACCACTGCATGGTATTTTGAAGTCGGAAGGCCAACATTGGTGACAGTTCTGTGAAGGGTCAAAACTTTAATGGATGTATCATCTGGAAAAACTGGTGAGATAGCTGGATAGTTCAAATCCCCTGGATTTGCTAGAGAATGTCGACAAGACCTGTTTGCGTGCTTGCCGAAAACTTTCAGCTGTGTTGGAGTAAGCTTCTGTGTGCAGAGAAAATCAAAGTAGTCCTGGGGCTCAATGTCGTAAATCAGACCTGGGTCTAGAGCTTTCATCGGGTTTATGTGTCCTGCACCATAATCGTAAGGGTTGGAAGGGGTAGCCGCTGAAGCATCCTTCAATGGATGGCGTGTGTTATCATGAACATAAGCTGTTGTCATCAGTGCAGATTTGATCGCTGCTGGACTCCATTCTGGGTGTCTAGCCTTAAGCAAGGCAGCAATTCCACTAACATGTGGGCAGGACATGGAAGTTCCAGAGAGTATGTTGAACTTTACTCTCCTGCGATCTGTTGGCAAACTTGATGGACCCAAAACACCAGTCCAAGCGGCAATTATGTTCACACCAGGTGCAACAATATCAGGTTTCAGAATCTCAAGAGTCAGCAAGTTTGGTCCTCGGGATGAAAATGCTGCCACTACTGGAGAAGGCTTGATTCCCAATCTTGTACCGAGAAAAGCTAGAGTTGCGGTTGCATTTCGGCTGGTTGAAGCATAACGCTTGATCAGTCTCCCTTCTTTCTCTCCAACTGCAACTGCTGGAAGCAGGTGACAATCTGCAACTAGCTCCTCTCCATTTGCTGCTGTGTTTGACAGAATCATGCCTACTGCTCCTGCTGCTTTTGCTACCTGCCCCTTTTGAACTCGAGGACTAATACCGCGGTCACAGATCACAATCTTTCCGGCGACAACACGAGGATTTAGAGTTCCTTCCAAGCACAATGAGCTTGGGTCAGGGCCGCTTGAGTTGCTACCCATGTAAACTAGAGGATATTGCTTCTTTGTAGACAAAACCATTCGGCCTTTATAAAGTGAAACTCCAGATAGAGTTCTGCCTGTTCCTAGTCTGGCAGTGGCCGGAAAATCCCTGTCCATGGTGCTAGCACCAACGGTGGTGACCCATGGTGAGACATTAGTGAGGCTGGCAGGGTCAGGCCCTCCATTTCCTGCTGAGCATGAAACAAAAACACCCATCTCCATTGCTCCAAAGGCAGCTATGGACAAACTGTCGCGGTAGTAAGACGAAACCCCACCACCCAAAGATATGGACAAGACATTCACTCCATCAGCTACTGCTCTATCAACTGCAGACAGAATATCTGAGCTGAAACATCCACCAGCCCAGCAAACCTTGTAAGCTGCAATTCTAGCCCCAGGTGACATCCCTCTTGCAGTTCCGTAAGCATAGCCCAATAGATTTGCTCGATGAACTGGAGAGCCAGCAACAGTAGCTGCTGTGTGAGTTCCATGACCATCTTGATCTCTTGGTGATTTATACTCATTTTGCTCATTGATTTTTCCAGTAGCAGATTCATATCCTTTGTAGAAGACTCTTGCGCCGACAATTTTTCTATTACAATGATGCTTCTGAAAAGCCCTGCCTGTCTCACACATCCCATTCCAATGAGCGGGCACTGGGGTCATGCCTGTGTCATTGAAGCTCTCACTCTCTGGCCAAATCCCCGTGTCCAGCACTCCCACTATGACATCATGGTCTGCAAGTTTTTCAGACCAGACACTTGTGCTGTCTTCAGGTTCTAGCCGAAGGAACATGGGGCTTCTTGTTGTGTGTAGTTCATATTTAGTCTCTGGGAAAACAGCCACTACTCCATCTGCTTCCTCTAGCCTTGCAGCTTCTTCTTCATTCAACTTGGCAGCAACTCCATGAAAGACAGTCTCATAGCTATAAACTATCCTATCCTCCTCATCAGCATTGCCTTCATTTGCAGGCTCAGACAATACTGACTGTACTTTGGATGAATACCATTCAAGGTGGTCAGTGAAGTGTTCAGGCTTCGCAGACTTATCCATTTGAACAATGTAAGTCTTTCTTGTTAATGGGGTGTTCATGGAAATGACAACATTGAAAGCTAGATAGCTTGTTAGAACGAAAACAAGCCATTTCGCAGGATTTTCAACCATTTTTCAGGTCAAGAAAGAAGGGTTTTTCAAGAACGAAGTGAAAAAAAGTAAAACAGAAGCCAGAATGAGATGGGTTGTGGAGGTAGTAGTGTCTTGAGGCTAGAAATATCTCATAGGACGGACTAAGGAGGGACAGTTACAGCATCGATCCTGCTGTAGTGCAGTAATTAAAGTAGTAGGTTGTTCCATGAATGCCTGTTGAAGAAAGTGAGGACGGCTGGCTGGTGCGAGAAGTTAATTTGGTTATGATCCAATCGTAACTCTTTTTTTCCCTTTTCCTTTTCTCACATCTGGTTTGGTAATTATGGTTTCAGTTCTACTGCTACTTCTTGACTGGCTTGGTGAAAAAAAAAAAAGGTTCTGCTAGTATTTCTGGAGGTCCTTATCACCCTCAGGTCTTAATCTTTTTCACAGAAAACCTATATAATAGAAGCCTACCTGAGGGTATTTTTATGGCGGAGACAAAAAAAAGACTACCGGTAAAAAAGAAATTAGTTTTTAGTGAGGTAAGCAGTGGGACTATGGAGTATATATGGAATTATGAATGCCACTGGGGTGAGAGTTATTGTCTTTTTTCTTTTTGCAGAATTTCTTAAATGCTGTTGGGGTCTGCATTCTGCAATATGCAAAGATCTGAAAATATGGTCCCTACAATCACAGGAAGCATGTCCTCACCGTCCATTTTATTTTGGCAACTCCTTTTTAATCTTCTTACGTTTTCTTTGAAATGTTAAATAGAGATTAGGGTTTAAGTTTATCGATTTTAACTTCTATCTATATCAATTAATTGGGTTTTCTCCAATAACTTCTATCTATTTAAACCTTGTTTTTCTTTTTTTTAATTAAGGTTTTGTATTTTCTAAAATTTCTTGCTTCAGATTTTTTATAATAACATCACTAATTAGCAATTGATATATGATCAAGATTTTTTATTTTTCTATACCACGTTCTTGATTAGTAATATTATAATATATTGTTTAAAGCAATAAATCTAAAAAAAAAAAAATACAGGTTTTCTCAATCAAGTAAAAAAAAAAAAGAATCCCAATTAAAAAAAATCAAAAACTATAAGTTCGAGTAAATCCTGTTTTAAATCCATCTAATTTCAGCTTAAATCCATTTGGACATTTATTTGCTAATTGAATTCAAATCCTAGTAATTGATACTAAATCCCACTCACTTACAGCCTTGTCTACCTTCTTGAAGTTCTTGTTTAAAGACAAGCAAGTACTAACACTCCCATGTGGTGGAAACTGGAAAAGGTTAACACGCATAAATAGTAAGGAACCACTTTCCTTCGTGCTCAAGACATGGAGGATTCTTATTAAATAGATATATTCTTCTTTATGCTGCCTTAAGCTGTAGGCGCATTTCACTTTTTTCATGCAACAAGGAAAGTAGCTCAAGTCTCTCAAAAGAAGGCCTTTTCTTCTAGTTATATTAGCCCTTCGCTTTACTCTCTCTCTCTCTCTCTATATATTTATATATTGAGTTATCGCATTTTATATATATTTTTTTAAGTTATGAAGATTAACGTGGATGGAAATTCGTAGTATAAAATGTTATACAGATACAGCATGGTTATTTTGTTAGCCGATTAATAAATGAGGATTAAGGAGGCATCGCCCTTACGAGATCACGAAGATAGAGCTTTCAAAAAGTCTATAGAATATTAGACCGGATGTATAGGCTCGTTAGATTTTTTTTCTTATAATACTAGTTGTTCACTCTATAAATAAATATAGGTAGCATTACTTGTATTTATAACCATCATTTGAAAAAATTTAATAAAAAACCCTAATACAACTATAGAGTATCCATTATTGTCGAACCACGTGAAAATTATTATGTTCTGTAATTATTTTTATCTTTCTACTTTTTTTTTTTTTTTTTTGATATGTTTCCTAGCAGCTTTCTCCAAACTAATGCTGCTGCAGTTGATTTGATTCATTCGTTTGAACAGTGGAGTAATGGAGTTGAGAGGCTTGAAAACAAAACAAAATGAAAAACAAAAAATCTGTCTCTTTCATTCAATGGTTACAGCAACAAAACTTAATTCAGAGACAACTCAACATAGAGAGGAGAACAACCGAACCAAATTTTTGGAGGGAAAGATAGGGGACCCCCTAGTTCATTTTGGTTAAAAGTGAGAAATATCTCTATCCTGTATATGGTAGTTCTTTTCCCATTTGTTTAATTTATTTGAAATTAAATTTCCAAAAATGAATTCTAATTATTGTTCTAGGTTGAAGTATGATATGGGAAGGTCCCATCCCATTTGCAAATGTTAGTTCTTTTATTGAGAGTAGTGGAGACATACATGAAATGATTGAAATCTTTTTTCCAAACTTTCGGTTTCTGTATGTCTTCAAAGCTGTCAATTTGTACAGGCTGCTGTTAGGTCAGTCCTTTTGACAAGATATTAAATTTGAGAAACTGGATTGGTGGGAGAAAACTAGGATTGTTAATTGGATTAAACTTCTTTTGCTTTGCAGTTAGATCCCATTAGCATAGAGAGTTTATTTATTTATTAACATAGACAGATCTTTGCAGTTCATAGTTGGCATGGAGGCAGTACGGAGTTAGTGTTAATGGAGAAGAGAATCGTGTTCTTACAATAAAAGATTGAACCCACTGTGATTATAAGTTGATAAATTATTGTGGTTAATGAGATATTCTTTTTGTTTATTTATATCTGGCACAAAATTGTTGTTTGTAAAAATTTTAAATAATATATTTTTAAAAAAATATCTTTAATTAATAAAAATTCAATTGTTTTTTTCATTTTTGTTCTTCGTAGACAAAAAAATCAATATTTTTTATATTTTTCTCTTACACATTTAAATACTTTTAACATAAAAATTTTAAAGAATTTTTTGTTACATGAAAATATTCATCTTTATAAAAACTTTACTGCAAATCAAACTTTTGAGAGTAAAATATTTTAATTAATATGTTATTTTTTTATAATTATTTTAAACTTAATTGTTAATTAACTTAATAGTTTTTTTTATTTACCATCTTAATTTTAGATATATTTTCTGTTTAAATTAATATTGATTATATTCTAGAGTGTTGGTTTGAGTGGAAAGAGTTTCTAATCGTTTAAACAAATAGTTTCGAATTCAAATTTTTGTATATATAATTAAAAACTCTCCGATTAGCCGTCTTCTTCTTATGCAATCAATAAGAATAAGAAATTTTTCCATTGCATATTTAAGCAAAAGTTTAAGCTAAATCATAAGATTGCTTTAGCTTAGCCACCAAAATTGTCAATAACAGTGACATAATAGCCACCCTAGTTTATAAAATAAGAGGAACGGCTGCAAGCTCTGTATGCTTGGCAATTATAGCTGCCATTTCATATAAGTCAGGCTTGGATGTGAATGCTCAACGTAATTATGCACAATATTATAATGAGAATGAAGCCATAATTACAGAAGCCTTAATGAGGATGCTTCATTACAGAAGCCTTAATGAGGAAAACATCCTTTCTTTCTCTCTTGCACTCCATTTGATATCGGCTAATTACATCAATCAGGGATTTCCAACCAGTACACATACCCTTTTTCTTTTTCTTTTTGTTATTTTAACAGTTAAAGATTTTTTTTTATGTCAACTTTCGAGTTTTGAGAAATGATTAATTAGTGCCTCATGGTTTAAAAATTAATTATTCAGTCTATTTTGCTCATTTTTAATTTTTTTTTCTATTTTTTAATTTTTTTAATTTAAAAAAAGATATTATGGAAAAATTAAGAGAAAAAATATATTTTTTGAAATAAAATAATATTAAATCAAAAATCATTAACTCTAATTAAAACATAAATAATTAGTTTTTTTTAAAAAAACCAATTAATTCATTTCTCAAAACTAAAGTAATTTATAATTTACTCCAACTTTTTAACATCTTGACTAAATTTTTGTTGGCTCATTTCTCAAATAAGTTACCTTTATATGTCTAAAGAGGTGTATTTATGTTTTTTTTTTTTTTTTTTTGTGCTATCTTCCCTACAATTTAAACTCTTCATGATTATAAAGCTATAATTTCCGATCCTATATTTGATATAATTCCAAAAGATAGTTCTAATGATTTAAAAAATACATGCATTATCCTTTCTTTTTCTTTTTTTAGTTGGCATCTTTAAATCAACACTTAAAAGACTTTTTTTTTTTTTTTTTATGTAACAAGCAATATATCTTGAAATTCTTATTCTATTTGATATGTATTGCATCAAGATTCATTCTAAAAGGATAGTAATGCACATATAATCATAACTAGGGTTAGCAATATTTTCCATGGATTCAATTAACTCAAAATCTTCAATATCTTGATTTAGACCAATCAACCCTCCTCCAAAATGCAAGTCCCAATGACCTAAACTTCTTGAGCTATATAGGACCCAATGGCTCAAATCATAATAAAACGAATATCATGGCACCGCCATGAAGGCCGGTCCTACTCCACCTTCTTGATTAAAACAATAAGAAGCCATGGGAATACACATGACGCAGCAGTTATGGTCAGGACTCTATCGATCGTATTTACTGCTCTTGGCAGTCGGTTCAACACCCATATTGATATCAACAAACATCGATGTTCGCATTCAAAGCTTTCTCTTTGCAATTGGGCTCTCTTTCTTAAAGAGAGCAGAAGTCTTAAAAGAGGAGAACACTACAATTCTGGTTGGCATTCCAAAAGGGCAACACAAACGTGGATCAAAAACCTCACAAGTTTGAACGTTGTCAATCAATTCAGAAAATCAGTATAGCTACCAAATGGTCATCATGATGGGGTAGATGGAAAACTATTGTGCTATTTAGTAGTGAAAGACTGCATAAATTGGTTCTGCACAATTGGTTGCCATTTTTTTTTTTTTGACAATTTATTTTAAGAGCTATTAGCATCGTTTCTTACCAGTAAGTCTATATAATGTGTTTTAATATTTTAAAAAATTTAAAAAATATAAAAAATACATAATTAATTAATTATTTTTTAAAAAAAAACTAGAAGAGGATGCTAAATCAATTAGTTTAAGAAGAGTGTTTAATTTTAGTTAAATGAATCTATAAAAAATTACAAAATAACCATTAATTATTGACAAAATATTTATCATGTGCAAATAATAAATAAAAAAGGGAAAAAAGAAAAATAGGGAAAAAATAAATTTATCATTAACCTCTATGATGGTTTTTGTTTTTTTTTCCTGAATAATAATGTACAGTCTATTGTAATATATGAATTTTTTCTTGTAAGTTTTTGTATCATTTTTTTAAACATCTCTCACATTCAACTATTGAATCTACTAGCGGATTCCATGAATTTTTTTTGATTAATTTTGCAAAGAATCTTTTAGAAAATATAGTCTTTGCCGAATTTAGTTGATGCATGGTGCATGCCCATATAAAGCTCTAAAATACATATACTATTATGCATGGCTGGTTAAAATCGAGGAGCCATGTTAATCTCAAGTGCTCAATGCTTTTATCATACTATTATTGTTAAGAACAAAATCATATTGTTACATAGAGTTTTCAGCTGAATCACAAGACAAAAGGTGCATCTTCTTTAAATTTTATAGCATAATTTATCCTTAAATTATTAGAGTTTTGGTAAAACAAGACTTATATTATCAATTTAGGCTATTAGAATCTCAAACTATTAATTTTTTTTAGCAAATTTTTTTTCCCATCACATCCGATAGTCAAAGTATTGACCATAAATTGAAATAATTAAAATGATGACAGCCATAATGAAAAAGGCATAAATTTTGTTTAAAAATTAATAATTTGGGATTTTAATTGTCATATTAGAGAATAATATAAATCATATCCTATGACTTTATCTAACGACTTAAGATTTGGGGTGAAATGGTCTTTTGACATGGTATCAAAGCTTTGATGACCAAACGATCACGAATTTGAATCTTACTACCCACACTTTCTTCTCTAATTAATTAAGCACAAAAAGTTTTTGGATGAGATGGTCTCTTAATAAGCCACAACTCTAGTAGTTTGATGGTAAATTAGGTTAAATGTCTCTTGAATTTTTATTCATTTGAAATTGAGTTTCTAAAAATTAAATTTGATTTTTAAAATCTCTAAACTTTTAATTTTTTGAGATTTAATTTATCTAATAATTTTCAGCTATCATCCTCTTCGCTAAAAAAATTTCAGTTATTGGTGTTTTGAACTGAAATTTTACACACACTTGGAAAGATTCGATTTATTTTTTTCAAAATTGAAAAGCATATTTATTTATTTAGCATTAAAAATATAAAAAATCAGAAATCATTCTAAATTTTTTGAAGAGTTCCATATAAATTTTACTAGATAATTTTTATTATGGAATTATTTTTTGAGATAAATGATAAAAAACTGAAAGATGAGTCAAATCTTTAAAAATTAAAAGATCAGAGATTCCAAAAGCTAATTTTGAATTTCAAAAACTTAATTCTAAATAAGTTAAAATTCAAAAGATGTTTTATCCATTTAGCCGGTAAATTATGCCATTGAATCAAATTTAGTGCGGTTGAATTTAATTTGCACCAGAAGTTCATATGCTCTTTCTTCCACCATGATGGCCAAGCACGAACATATGTTATTCTCCTATAGAGTGAAGTTATGAAGATTGGAAATCGTATAAAATTAATCAAGAGAATATTTATACAAAAGGTTAAGCTGATAATTTGAAGAACTCTACATACACATGCAAAGACATTAATAACCCAATGTCTTTTTATTCTATTTCCTTGTGAGCCTGGTTCTGTTACACAAATGGCACCCACCTAACTTACTACAGAAATTAATGCCTTTAATCTTTGGAAAAAAAAAAAAAAAAAAAATATATATATATATTAGTACTTTTAGTTTTAAGAAAAAAATTATTTAATCTCCCTTATTTTAAAAAATAATTAATTAGTTTTTTGACCAGTGCTAACCATACTTGATATAATATTATTTTATTTAAAAAAATCTTCTTTTTTCATCAATTTTTTAATACTAAATTTTTTTCTTTTTCTATTTTTTAAAATAGAAAATAAAAAAATTTAAAAATAACATAAAATGTACAAAAAGACTAAAATTGGTTTAAAATAATAATAATTATTATTAATTTGCTTTTCAAACCTAGAGGGGCTAATTTATAATTTACTCGTAAAATCCTGGTGATCTAAGAATCAACCTCAACCACTGGATCAGTGTCCAGTGGTTCCTATGTGATCGATCATATGGAAGATAGACCCCACTAGTCTTGTGGTTGGTGATTTTTTGTTATTCATTCAGGAAATAATTTCGAGATAAATAGCTTGAATAACTCCCTACTACATAAAATAATAATAATAATTATTATTATTATAAAGCTTATTTCATGGAATACGCTCTTCAATTGATTAAAGGATTTTTTTAGTTCAATAATAAAAATATTTTTGAATCAATTTTTGCATATCTCAAAATTAATTTCTTCCCGAACGTAACTAAATAATACTCTTCCATGTATAATCTAAGATATTCTTAAAAGTGTTGATCATAAAATCGAATTCTACATTTGACTTACAAATCAACACTTACTTATAATGTCGTTAGATTTAATCTTGTGGTTAGGAAAATTTGGTTTATTAGATGTGTGATATCTGCTACTACTTGACCGCTTTTGGTCTGTTGGATCCCACTAACCAAATGTATTATTAATTTCGTTACTGAATTTGGGATGTATTTTTCTACAAAAATTGCACAATTCCCATACCATTGAACTCAAAAAACCAAACATCAAACTTTTAAAAAATTAAAATATCCAAATAGAAAATCCCCCAATTTAGTCCCTGTTTTTTTTTTTTCATTTTTGTCAATTTTGGCAAATGAATCTCTATAAAGAAAACTTTCATTAAATTGACCCCTACATTCATCACAATTCATCAATTCATCCCAATTGAACTAACCGTAAACAACTTAGTGTATCCCTATAGGCTATAGGATGAATTCCTCAGAGTTTTTTCACATCAATTTAGTCTAATTGGATTTATTCAACCAATATAGGGTGAAATTTGACCCCATAAAAAATCCAGGTGATCATTTGCTAAGACACAAACAGAAGAATAGCTAAATCTTCCATTAAAACAACTAGATCCAGCCTCACTTCAGCAAAATCCTTTCATTTTTATCCAGCCAGAACTTGCCGGTCAAATTTTTCCTGGTGAACATGTCCTTCATCAATTTATGATAGAGTAGACTTGCTCAGTTAAAGCTAAATCTGCAGATGTGAGCATGCCTTTGACTCTTCGAAGTTGCAGATGCATGCATGCATGGGGTCTCAGACCAGACCCTGAAATTAAGCAACTTGGCAATTGATAATTCTGACGATGGCATTAAAGACATCAGTCTAAAGTCATTACATGTGCATTAACGTTGCATTAATGTAGTCAGCACGAGAAGTACATTTCAGAATGGCAAAAGTCCACGCTACGTAGCTTATGATCTTCCATTAATTTCTCTCCTGTCATATTCAATCTCATTGCCACACTATACAAGAAAATGGATTATGTCTATGAAAAATGCTAGATTTTGACGTTATAATGCAACTTTAGCCGTCTTGCAAGAACGAAGTGTTAGAATCTCGAACATATTTTCGTAAAAGGTCATCAAATCAAGAAGAAGAAGGTGTAAGAAATACCCTTAATTATGTTTTACAGTTATTTAAAATGCATGCATGCATGTCCTTGCGTCTATCCGTTAAAATGAGAAATTATTACGCGAAACGATTTCACCTTCTAAAATTATATAGACCAAATCAATATAATTTTTACATATTATTAATTTTGTTTAAATCATTTTGTAATTGATGAATCATTAACTATTTTATTTCATAATTATGAATATGCTTTTAAATGTAAAAAATTCACATTTTAGATCTGATTTATTAAAAAGATAATTTAGATAAATTTAATTAGTTATAATAATTCTATTAATTGGTTTGATCCATGATCTTATTAAAGCAATTCAGTGATTTTTGTTTATAGATATAGCATTGCTTGTTGCAAAATATGGCATGTTCTTTTGTTTTTTTGTTTTTTTTTTCAGTTGATTGAAACTACAAAAACAAAAATTAAATCCGAACTGAATTATTATTCGGTATTATTCGGTTTTTGATTAGATCCCTGGTGCATCGATCTTTGACATCAATCTGGATTAGTTAGACAATCCAATCACCAAATTTCAATAAGATTTGTCTGGTCTAATCGAGATGTTATAACAATATAATAAACATATGGTATGTTGTAATTAACGCAATTTTTTTGCCATTTATTTTGTAATTCTACAATTTCTCTAGAATTATATATTTAATTTATCTTACAAGGATTGCATAATTGCATTATTCAGGACTGTATAAAATCCTTTTTCGGAAAATAAAAGATAATTAATCATTGACTTCATGAGAATAACCCATTTGATTAAAGGGTCGTGATTGGATATCGATGGACACTGTCGGCCCATGGGCCTTTCTTGGACTCACCAACTATGGGCCTCAAGCATTCCCAAACCAGACTACAACATTTTGGCCCAGTCCCAAACCCAAGTAGCCACACCTTGTCACCTTTCTTGACTACTTCTTTTGCTTCCAAATAAGCTAATTCATACCACAAGGAAGAAGAAGACTGGTTCCCAAACCTATGTAGTGTCATCAAAGCAGCCTCAACTTCTTTCTCTCCAAGCTTTAACCCTTTTGCCATCTCTCTAATCACTGCCCTTCCCGAAGTTGGCAAGCAAAAATGTTGTATCACACTCTTAAAATTTGGCACATAAATCTCCTTTGACTTGTCAAAAAAGCTCTTTCTGATTATTGAAACAACATGCCAAAATTTTTCCAAACGAGGCAAGATTTGTGAACCAAGAATTGTTACATTAAACTTGAGAGCTTCTCCAACAATTTGGATTACATCTCTGTGCATTGTAACCCCAATTTTTCCTTCTGAATCTTCTTCACGAACCGCAACAACATAACTCTTGTCTTCAAAGGATCTTTGGGTTCTTACTGAACAATAAAGCTTGTATTTTGACAAATTTTTGGCTTCATTTTTGTTTGTAAGCAAGATAGCTGCACTTCCCATTCTAAAGCTGCAGTTAATGAGTAGCTTGGACTTCTCATGACCAGGATACCAACCAGTTGATAGGATTTCAGTGCTAAGAACAACGGCATAGGAGTTCTTGTGAACTTTCAAGAGGTTTTGAGCCATGTCAATGCCTATAGCTCCTGCACTACAACCCATACCAGATAGGCTAAAACTCTTAACATCATCTCTCATGGAGAACTTGTTGATGATTATGGATGATAGGGAAGGTGAAGGACAGAAGCCACTGCAATTTACTATAAGTATATCGATGTCTGGAGCAGAGACTTTAGTTTTGGAGAGGAGGTCTTGCATGATGGGAAAGAGAACCATTTCTGCTTCTGCAATGGATTCTTGTTGATGGGATTTTGGAGGAATATAGTGCAAGGCTGGGGGAGATAAGTTTCTTCACCTTGCCCAGAAGAAATGAGGACTTTGGCCATGAAAGCTACACTTTCTTTATCAAAAGACTCAATCTTTGATGCATTTTCAAGAAACGTAGAGGAGGGAACTCTGCAAACGTTTGGTGGTTTGAAACATGAGAAGTCTACAAGGTAGACTGGCTTGGAGCTTAGGAAGTAGGGTTTGATGATGAAAAAGAAAAGGACAACAGAAACTAAGAGAAAATGGAAAATGGGTTTCCATTTTTGAAGGGCAAAGACTGCTTCAAGTGAAATTACAAGTGCAAGAGCAGAAATTCTTAGAACTTCCAAGAGAGGTGACAGGAGATGCTTGGATAGCAGATTAATGGTGTAAAAATCAGGGCCATGGTTGGCCTTAGTGAGAGATTCCATTGAGAGAGATAGAGAGAGAGAGAGAGAGAGAGTAGAAAAGGCAGAGAGATTCCCAAGGTCTTCTCTTTCTGATCAGAAGGGTTTAAATGGAAGTTATCATGATGGTCGGGGTGTGTATGTGTTGACTTCCAAGGTATGCTTAAACCATTTGCATAGAGTCTTGCAAATACACACTAATATTTTTTTTTTGAAAAAAAAAAGATTGGAATTTAGGAGATTTTTGCCATAGATACATCATTTTTTTTTCTTTTTTTTTAATGGGAAGGTTAATATATTCTCAAATTAATTTTCAAATAATCAAAAAATAATTTGTTTCCGATTGTATTCAAGTTGAATTCATCCATATGCGAATTGATACGTTCGTCAAAAAAAGTTTTTTTTTTCTTGACACTTTTGAAGATTTTAACTATAATTGATAATGTGGGAAACAATTTTACTTACCAAACAAGATAAACCTCCATTCGTACGAATATATTAAATAAAGTTTATACATTTAAGATTAAAAAAAAAAAGCTTAGTATAAATAGTAGAAAATTGACTTGATGATATATTTATTAGTAATATAAAAACTTATTATGTCAAGCACAAATTTTATATTAGCATATTTTTTAATGTTATATAAAAAAATATATAAATTATTTTTTATAACTATATTAGTAGACGAAAAGTTTTTTAGTTAAAATTTCATTTTCAATGAACATAATGAGAAGATAAATATTAAAATACCCTCTTCAATTCAGACATAAAATTTTTTTATTAAAATTTCATTATTAAGGGATGTGATGAGAAGATAAGTATTAAAATATAATTCAGACCTAAATTTTTTTGGTTAAAATTTCATTTTCAACGGACATGATCAGAAGATATGCATTAAAATAGCCTCTTCAATTCAGACGACATGTCACTAAATTGTCTTTCTTCTTTTGATTTCAAATCCTAAAAATCTCCAAATCCCAACTCAATTGAAATTCTAAAAATTTCCGATCCTTCTGATTTGAAATCTTCTTCTCTGGCTCGACGAACTCCAGCAGCTTCAGTAACAAATCCGAATCCTGAAATACCAAACCTTCTCCGCTGTAACTTGTCGCTGCCCACCATAATAACCACCGAACCCGAACCTGTTTTCAACTCCATCAGATCCTTCGCACCTGCCACTGTCGCCAACCTTGGCCCTGCTTTCGACTTTCTTGGAAGCGCCGTCGATGGCCTCGGCGACTTAGTCCCTCTCCGTGTCGACTCCTTTGTCCACCCAAGCGTGCTCTCCATCTACCATGTTTCTGGCTCCAAAAGCTCTCCAAAAACCCACTCTATAATTGTGATGGCATCGCCGCCATTGCCACCATGAAAATGACCAGCATTCGCTCTGTGGATGTCTCTCTTTCCCTTGAAAAGGGCCTTCCTTTAGGATCCAGACTCGGATCCAGTGCTGCTGCGGCTGCTGTGCCGGCGAATGAGCTATTTGGAAGGAAATTGGAGGTGAAAGATTTAGTCTTGGTTGGATTGCAATCTGAAGCCAAAGTTTCAGGTTACTTTTGTTTTGATTAGAAGTAATGATCCATTGGAGTTAATGAGATTACAGTTCGCATTTTGTTTCTTTTTTATTGTCACAGATTATGCACCATGTTTCCATAGCTGTCTATATCTCAAATTTATGAAACCAAGCATTCGACATTGTTCGAGACAAGAAGTATTTGCATTTCAACATTGACAGGAAGAGATCTCAAATCAGAAGATGTGAGAATTTTTTAGGATTTTAATTGGATTTGGGTTTGGGGATTTTTAAGATTTCAGGACAAGAGAATTAGACGACATGTCGTCTGAATTTTGAATGATATTTTAACGTTAAACCATGTCAAATGTTACGTAGCATTGAATCTTTGTTGTCTTCTTTCTTTGTCAAATCAGCTGAAAATGAAATTTTAACGGAAGAAATTCATATATGTTAATATATTTATTAAAAATATATTTTCTCTATTTTCTATTTAATATTAATTTTTTTAATATAATTAAAAAGTACAAATTTTGTATTTTTTAGTACAATAAACCTAATATAAAAAAAAATAAAAAATAAATGAATAAAAATAATTTAATTGACATGGCGTTACTGTAAGTGTCTTAGCTAATTAGTTAAGGAAACAGATGAGAGAATCATATTATTACGATAAAGATTTGAATTTGTAATCTATTGGAATGAAGATTTTTTTAAAATCAAATATTTCAAAAAAAAAAAAAAATTCAAACGGGTAATCTCTTATGAGTATAAAAAAACTCTTTATCACTAGACTTGAAACTTATTGGTTGTAGCTAACTAGCTAGTTTCTTAAAAGTCCATTTTTCATTACTAATCTCATTTAAGTAAGCTAAACCCTAAAGGATTGAGCCCTATTTTGATCTATCAAAATTGGATTCTTACCGTATAAAAGGATTGATTTGTGTGGAAAAAAAAGATTTTAGTTATGGCATGTATAGTAGTTATTTTATGGATCCATTCGAGGAGAGAGATAAACACATAAAAAAAAGATAAAAATTACATCTATATCTATCAAAAGCGCTAAAAAGATTTTCATATCTACTCAAATTTTTTTATTTTCTCTATTTTGTTTCTCTCTCTCTTTTTTTATGTGTCTATCTCTCTCTTCGAGTGAACACATGAAGTAACTACTGTACATGTCACTAATTACTCCCGATGTATTATAAAATTTTTCATTTAAATAAATAATTTTGAGTTTGAGTCTTTATACATGTAAAACCTTTCTAGTTAGTTATTTTAGTCTTATGTATCTAATAAAATAATAAAAAATTAATTTAAATTTTTTAACTTGAAATATCCTTAAAGATAAAAAAAAAAAAAAAAGTTTGGATTCTTACAATTACAAAAGGGTTTCAAAATTTAACCTCATAATTAGTGATGTGATTAGTTTCAAGGTAGGTAGGCAAGTCAACTGGACTGCTGCATAAATTGCCTTCCAACTCAGACAAAAAAAAAAAAAAAGGAGGGATATTTATTAAATTTCAGGATAATGCCATGGATGACATACTTTCTGCTGAGTTTCTCTCACCACTCAAGTGAGTCAGAGATGAGATGAGATGAGCCATAAGCCAACTAGCCAGGTGGTGTTGGAGTGAGTCACCTGGTTATAAGGTGGGGAGTGACGTTAATTTTCTGAGTAGAGGGCATGGGGGCATGAATTTGTCTCTGTGAATTTTAATTAGACAGGCCCAGAAGATGTGGATAACTTTTTCTCTGGACAGTTTTTCCAATGGCGGATTTGCATTCAATATTCTCATTGGAAACTTAAACTCAACAACCTACAGTGTCACTATACACGCTATTCAACACAGATTTTTTCTTTTTTTCCTCCCCTTAACGTTTTTTTTGATAGGCTGTGTTTGTTTCGAAAAAAATAAATTTTTTAAAAAAATTATTTTTTGATTTTTATTTTACGTTTAGAATTAAAATCAATAAAATTTTATTTTTAATCAATAAAAATTAATAAATTATTTTTTAAAAAATAACTTTCGAGCTAAAAAAATATTTTTTTAATAAAGTATTTAGCTATCGTATTACTCGCTTCTTTTTCGATACTCACTGCTCTTTCTCTCTCTAGATACCTATTGTTGTCAATCTTTGAGAAATTTTATAATACACTAGGAGTAACTCAGTGACATATACGATAATTACTCCACTGAATCCACTTTAAAGAGAGAGATAGATACATAAAAAATATAGAAATTACATCTATACTCATCAAAAGTCTTAAGAATATTTTCACGTCCGTTTAAATTTTTTTATTTTCTCTCTCCTATTTCTCTCATTCTTTTTATGTGTACTATTTCTCTTTTCAAAATGAATACGTGATGTAACTATTGTACATATCACTAATTACTCGTTATAGATTATAAAATTTCTTGTCCATCCTCACGCGATGATTGCCCACCTAAGAACATCTTGTCACCCAACGCCATCTGTCCATCTTCACGCAACGATTGCCCACCTAAGCACATCTTGTCACCCAACGCCATCGCAAGAAACCTAACGTCAACGTCTTGCTTTTATTGAAGTTGTATTAAAATTTATTGGCATAACAATCATAATTTATTTTTATATTTTAATTTTTTATATTAAAAAAATTCAATTTAAACGGAAACAAAAATTTCAAAAACCAAAACAACAAAAAAAAATTCAGTTTTCAACTGTTGTTTTATAGAAAAGCACCTTCGGCCATGGCCCATGAGGTACTTGTTTGCTTCTAATGGGTTGTAAAGCTTATTTTTCTCATATAGAAATTAGGAGTAATCATTCCCTTCTCGGTTTGGTTTTTAATAATTGCAATTAGGTTTTTGATTAATTGAATCTATAAAAATAAAAATCAAATCCAATCTGAATTTTAATTTGTTTTTTTAACCGAAATTTTGATTTTGGGTTTTTCAGTTGAAACCATTTTTTTTTAAATTAATATAAATAAACTAAAAATACTATCAATCCGTCATATACTTATAATAATGTTAAATTATTGTTTTTTTAATTTATTTTTATTATTTTAAAACTTAAAAAATAAAAAAATAAAAAAAATAAATTTAAACTGAAACAGAAATTACAAAAACCAATAAACCAAAAAAAAAAAAACTCAGTTTGTTTATTCATTTATTTAATTTTTGAGTTAAAAAACAAACCAAAGGTTTGTTTTTTTTTTTTTTTTTTTTTCAATAGTGCTAACTCCTAATCGAAACTAAACAATAGGCATTTATGGGTTCACCCTAATCCCTCCCCCAAATTCAAGAATTATATCCTAATCTGTATTCCTATTCCTGCAAGAACTATTAGATTGTCTACAAAAAGAAAATTCCAAGAATAACAAAAGAAGAACTATTGATGTTCCTAAAGCCCTAATACATGAAAGACATTGCCAAGGAATGGTCTAATGGGCTTCAAATCTATAGTCAAGACACTAAAGGATCTAAGCTCTACGCCTCAGTAGGCTTCCAGTTTGATGACCTTTGGGTTGACAAATGTAAAAGAAAAGGTTTATTAAATTTTCATTTTTTTTTTTTGGTTTTATTAAAATATGAGAAATTTAAAAATTCATGTCCTTAAAGCATGTTTTTTCAGGAAAATCATTAAAATATGTGCATAATGACGAGAGTTTGAAGTAAAATCAAGTTGGAAATTTAACTATTAAAAAATGGAATTGAGAAGCTAAAAATTTAATATTTTATTTTATTTTATTATTATATCCCATCCTTCCTCCAAATTTTAAGAGATGGTAGCAAAAAAATTTATATAGTTTGATTTATAAAAATAAAAGATTAGTATGAGATCCTGTATCTATATATATATATAAAAAATAAAAGATTTGTTAATAAATGAATGTGTGGAGGTGAATCATAAATTACGGGATTTGTACGTAGCTGAGATCGTGGAACTATAGAGAAGATCTTTTCTTTTTTCTTATTTATTTATTTATTGGATATTTAGAAGATTTTTTCAACAATATAAAAGTCTTTCGAAATCAAATCTGATTTCCTTCTCTCTCTCTCTCTCTTTCAATTTTTAATTTTCAACTTGAAAACAATTCTGTTTCTCTCTTATCGTTTCTAACGATTTTCCCTTTGCTAATTGTCACAACAAAGCTTGCGGATCAAGCCAAGGGCTCTGGTGAACATTTCTAGTTTCGATTTGCAGGAATTTGTTGAACATTCACTGTTTCATATGTCATAGTGCGAAACAGTCCTTCCACTTTCTAAATTTTCAATTGTATCTCAATTTCCTTTCAATTATGTCCTTAATTTCATCTTACTTTTGTTTAATTTATCCCCTATTAACTTCCAATTTAGAATTGATTTAATGCAATTATGTCCCTAGACCGATTTATCCATCCTTTTTTTTTTTTGACAATTTATGTATTTTATTATTATTATTTTATTTTTTAGGTTTTATTTTATTTCTACTTTGATTTTCCCTTTTCAATTTTTTTTTGTTTTTTTTAATAACGAATACTAAAATAAAATGAATAAAAATAATGTAGAATATCCAAAAAAAATAAATAAAAGATGAAATGAAGGAATAAATGACAAACTAAAATAACAACTAAAAATAAGAATTAATTAAGCTAAACAAATAAAATTAAAAAAATGAAAACCAAAATTTAGGTTATGACTAGTATCAACATGAGGGCTTGGTCTTCGTATGATGTATTAGTACTAATGATATGTCTTAAAATTGCATGAAAATAAAAATAATGTCATGAATAATGAAAAAAATTGTACAATTAAGTCTAAGTAAATAATAAATAAAGTATGCGTGAAATGAACAGTAACTAGTGGTTTTGGCCTAGTATTTTGTACAGTAGGAGGGCTTGGCTTTAATGCTTTAACGTGAGAGTGGGTGAAGGGAGGTGATGAGTGGAGAGAAGCTTCAGTGAGTCGGAACATGAGAATTTTGATCGTACGGGCCAAGGGGGCAGCTTTCCTCGAGAAATTTCTAGAAAGGTAATTTAGGTTATATTTCAAAAGATAATCACACCTGAAAGCTCAAACTATTAAGCAAGGTCTTAGGTAAAATTCGAACTTGCGATCGTTTAATCATCAAAACTCGATATCATATCGAAGAATAATCTCACCAAAAGCTCAAGTTGTTAGATAAGACTCAAAGATATAATTTATATTATTTTCTAACATACCTTCTCGTAAAAGCTATTTGAGCTTGAAAATTAAACGAGCTCATACTATCTTGTGCTTAATTAATTAGAAGAGAAAACAGAGGTGATAGGATTCGAACTCGCAATGGTTCGATCATCCAAACTTTGATACTATGTCAAAGGATCATTTTACCTAAAATTTATTAGGTAAATCTCAAGAATATAATTTATATCATTCTCTAACATCATGACATGTAGTATCAAAGGGCTTGGACTTAATGCTTTAACGTCAGTGTGTGTGCTGGGTGGTGATGCGTGGAGAGAGAGGTCAGTAAGTGTGAACTTGAGAATTTCTAGCAATGGCACGTGAAAGATTGAACGTGAAAACAAATATAAGTACCATGACAATAGTAAGAGAACCACAACAAAATTCCAATCACAAGCATGTTCTTTATAATTCTTTTTTCCTTTTTGGCCAGAGAATCTTCACCCCTTTTTGTTTTGTCTCTTATCTTGTAATGGTCCTTGTCATTTGCCACCTTTTCTTACATAAATTAATGGGGCCAAAGTCCCATTATCAGTACCAAGATTGATTGTAGCATAGAGCAACCACAGAAAACGAAGAGCATTATGGCTAAGTTATGGTGCTTTTTGTGCGCAATCATATTGCTTCAAGTTTCAAAAGCTGTCATTTCAAAACGTGAACAAGTCACTACACCTCCATTGCCAATCCTACCATTACCATCGTTTTCTCAATTGAAATGGCAAGAAAGGGAACTCATTATGTTTCTTCACTTCGGTGTCAACACATTCACTGATTCTGAATGGGGCACTGGTAAAGAAAACCCTGCCATTTTCAATCCAGTCGGGCTTGATGCTAACCAGTGGGTCAATGTGGCGGCAGAAGCTGGATTTTCTCTCATGATATTAACTGCAAAACATCACGATGGATTTTGCTTGTGGCCTAGCAAATACACTGACCATTCTGTGGCAAGCAGTCCATGGAAAAATGGGCATGGAGATGTTGTTCAAGAGCTCGTCCATGCAGCCAAGAATCACGGTGGGGTTGATGTGGGACTGTATCTTTCTCCATGGGATCGGCATGATAAAAGATACGGTCATGATTTGGAGTACAATGAATACTACTTGGCTCAGTTGCAAGAACTTCTAAACAAGTAAGTTCAATAACCAAAAAATTTTCTTGTTCATTTTTTCATTAACGATATAGGACGATACAGGACTACTTTAATGTTTTATGAACGTTTCTTGGTGTAGGTATGGGAGCATCAGAGAGATATGGTTTGATGGTGCGAAAGGTTCAAATGTACCAAACATGTCATATTATTTCTCAGATTGGTTTTCAATGGTGAAAGAGCTGCAGACTTCCATCAACGTATTTTCCGATGCCGGTCCGGATGTCAGATGGGTTGGAAATGAAATGGGGTTCGCCGGAAGCACATGTTGGTCCACCATTAACAGGACGTCACTTTCAATTGGAAATGGAAGCATTGTTGAGTAAGTAATTTTAATTTCCAAGCAAGAGCACGCAAACACATACACACCCCATGATTCGCTTGTCTAAAAAATTCATCAACGCTATGATTGCAAAATGAGAAGAAAAGGCTTACTTGAATTATTGGTTCTGGTAGAATGTCTAATCATCATTGCTTTGGTTTTTAACTATAAAAACATTAGAGTACCGAGCTTAAACTGCCCGTTTCTTATTGTTAATTTACACTGATCACTTTTTCTTGCCTGAATCCCCCTTTTTTTTTTTTTTTTTATTGGAGTAAAATCTCTAGAGTTATTAATTTCTTTCATGAGGGGCAAGTTTTGAAACTGAAAATGGTGAGATTAGCACTTGAATCTCCTAATCTAATATTACTTAAAAGTTGGTCAAAAAACATTTCTTTATTAACAATTTTTTTCCATCATTCATGTTGAGAATTATTGTACTTTCTTAAACTGAGTTTTTTTATATATATACTTATAAACAAGCATCCATCTTCTTTCACAATACCATGTGAGGTAATATAATAATTTTTTTCTCCATGTTAGACCTAAGTTGTCTATAATTACTTTACCTAATCTTTAATACTAATGTTAAATGCTATCGAAACCTTTTCAATCTGAAAATTTAGTCTAAAAAATGAGAACTTTCTTTTTTCCACACATATGACAAAACACCTAATTTCGCAGCTAAGATACCCCAGTAATTCCACAACTTTTTCATACTAAAAAGAGAATTTACTTGTGACGTGGGAGACCAATGTAAGACTTTTTACTATTCAATCACGTACCGAATAATCGGAAATTGATTTCTTTATGGAAGTAATGAAAACAAATTACCTTTTTTATGAAGAGAAGAGTGTGAACTCTTGAAGATATCAAGGCACTAAAGTACGTTCCAAAGTAATATCGGAGTTGGTAAATTTCTTGTATCGATTAGCTGTACTCAGTGCATAGTTTCACATGTGAATCGCAATAGCAACTTTGCAATATCAATAATGTGAACTTTCGAACTCTTCCATCTGACAACTTTATTAATTTCCATGGAACAGTTATCTCAACACCGGTGACCCAAAAGGGACAGACTGGTTGCCAGCAGAATGTGATGTTTCAATTCGAAAAGGATGGTTTTGGCATAAATCAGAATCCCCAAAGAGGCTAAGCATTTTACTTGACATATACTACAATTCAGTCGGACGAAATTGTGTGCTATTATTCAATGTTCCTCCCAATTCGTCCGGCCTTATATCTGAGAATGATGTCCAAAGATTAATAGAGTTTAGAGGTGCAATCGACAAAATATTTTCTACAAATTTAGCTGAGAAATGCTCGATAAGAGCTAGCAGCCAAAGAGGGGGAAAGGATAGCGATTTCGGGCCCGAAAATGTGCTGGATGGTGACCATTTGTGGACTTATTGGACACCAAAAGAAGAAGAGTTAGAAGATAATTGGATTGAGTTCAAATGCATTGACGAATTGAGGTTCAATGTTATTAGAATTCAAGAGGCGATTGGTCTTGGCCAAAGGATCAAACAACATGAAGTTTATGTAGATGGTAAGAAGGTTGCTAAAGGGACTACAGTGGGACATAAGAGGCTTCATAGGCTCGAAGAGGGAGTTGTTAAGGGCCAAATTGTAAGGATTAAGATTCTCAAATCAAGAGCAGTGCCATTGATATCTTCCATTGGCTTGCATTATGACCCTTTTTGGCACCCAAATAAGATGTGATTTCATGTATCTTGCCATGTTCGAAGGCTACAAGTCAATAAGTACAATGCTAAAGACCTTTAAAAAGGCATAAAGGTAAAGGTAAAGGAAATTTCCACCATCTTTTCACTTGGTAGAAAACATTCACCCTACTGCTTCCTCATCATATTTGGGTGCTGTGATTGAAATCTTGGCATTAATAGCTTCTAGAAACATAAATTTCACTCACGCAAAGACGAGTTTAATCTAGCAATTGTGTATTTAAATAATTTTTTTTAATAAAATTAAATTTGAATTCTAGTATTTTAAGCTTTTTTTTTTTTTAATAATTATGTAATAGATAAGTACTGCTTTTTATTAGTAGGGAAAAATCCAGACTTTCTGATAAATAGAAACAAAATAAATAAAGCCAATGATTTTTCTTCCTAAATGGTTAGTGCCTATAAAGTAATGACTATATTTGCTGAGGATTAGGAAAACTAGTTCAAGTTAAAATATTCTAAAATAACTTTTCCTCAAAATAGACTTTTTTTTTGAGAAATTTTTAAATTTGTTTTGCAGAATTACTTTAAAAAAGATATTTGTTAGTGGTTGAGGGTGGTATCCCCCTCTCTCTTAATAATATAGTTTAATTTGTCCCTTTTTTTAAAAGAATTTCAATTTGATCCCTAACAAAAGGAACACATATCCCATTTTCTCCTAAATCATTAATTTGACCGTACCATACATGTCAAATATCACAAGCCAACTTTCGTGTCATTTCATCCTTTTCTCATGAGAAATGGGGTTACTCAAACAACCTGAAGATTGGACTTATGGATACCATTTTTGGGCTAGATGACCTAAAGTCTTTGTCTACCACAAGCAAAGAAAATCTCCTAACGAAATAAAATCTCCTTAATATTCCATTCATGAACAGATTTTAAATAAACAATAATGATTATATTCGTAAAATGCACTTTGAAAGATGAGTGTTGAATTCTGAACTTCCAATCCAAGTTGAGCATCATGACGTGATCGACTCTCTCCATGGATTTAAATTCTGACATGAAAAGACTATATACTAAACATTAATCATACAGATATTGACAAACTTTTGATGATGATTAAGATTAGTTTCATGGTTAGAATTATGAGGACGTGGAAAAAGCTTTATTAGCAAGTTTGTGTTTGTCTTTAGCACTATAGTTGATGAGGTTGTGACTTCTTAGTAGAATGAATAGATGGATATAATTTTCCCACACACATACTATGTATATTTCTTCGTTCAAAATATATGGAATCGGTTTTTCTTTTGTTATATAAAAAATTAATATTTTCATTTGTTCTTATATAATAAGTAAATTTTTTAATTTTTCTTAAAAAAAAATCTCAAATATTTTTTTATATTTTGAGCTTGTTTCTAATTTATTTTTGATCAATTTTTAAAAATTAATCTTCATATTAATAGATAATTTTATCAAATCGCATGTTTGATTTAGCTTAATTTAATTAAAAAAATAATTAAAATAATAGATTAGAAACTAATTTAAAATATAAAAACAGATTAGAGATTTAAAAAAATAAAAAAATGATTTATTATATAAAAATACGGGATGGTATTAACCCTTAAGCAAATGCAAAAATTTCTAATTTGTAATAAACAATAAATAAATGCATACAGTGGATATATGGACAATTATTATTTGGCGAGAAGGATGAATGGTTAGGGGTTTGGGCCGGCAGAGAAGGATAAAATTGTTGACTTTTATTGACTACTTACTGGGGAGTAGTAATTCATAAGGGGTCAAACTGAAGTCAATGTTTGGTTTCTTTTCGGATTATTTGGTGCTTGTACTCTTCATTTTTTCATAATATGGACCCTATACTCCTTTTTTGTTTGTAGAAAATTGTCAGGGGTGCAGGGACCAAATTATTCCGTTCGTGCACCAGCTAAACTGAAGTAAATTATAAATTAGTCCTGCTTGTTTTGATAAATGAATTAATTTGTCTCTTTTTTAAAAAAAACTAATTATTTAATCCTTATGTTTTTAAATCTATTTGTAACTTAGTCATTTTTGTTCTTTTCAATTTTTTAAGAAACGAGAAAAGGAAAAAAATATAAAATATGAAATGATTGATGAAAAAAATATTTTGTGAAATAAAAATAATATTAAATTAAGCGTGGTCATTTGATTGAAAGATTAAATAATAGTTATTCAAAAGAAAAAAAAATTAATTCATTTCTTAAAACTAGAGGGATTAATTTATAATTTATTCGAATAAACTGTTTTTTTAAAAAAAAAAAACTCAAAGAGTTAAGTTCAACGAGTAAATTATAAATTCGGTTTGATAACTTATTCGTATAGACTGTCACGATCCATTATTTAGAAAAAAAAAAAAAAATCCCTCCACAGCCAAAGATGGTAAATTATAAATTGATTCTTTTTGTCTTGATAAATAAATAAATTAGTCTTTTCTATTTTAAGAATTAATTATTTAGTTTCTTAATTAATATTATCATGTTTAATTGAATATTATTTTATTTTAAAAAATATTTTTTTATCAATCTTTCCATGATAGTTGTTTTTATATTAAAAAAACATAAAATAGATAAAAAGAGCTAAGTAATAAAAAATCCTTCCACCGCCTAATCGAGTAAATTATAAATTAGTCTTTATTGTTTAGAGAAATCAATTAGTTAGTCTCTTTTATTTCAAAAATTAACTATTTAGTTTTATTATTATTATTGACAAAGTTTAATTTAATATTATTTTATTTTAAAAAAATACTTTTTCTCATCGATCTTCTCATAAAATATTATTTTGAAACAAAATAAATAAATAATATAATATAAAAAATAAAAAATTGAATAATTAGCTAAAATCGATTGGTGCTTTTGGTTCAAAGCCAAAGTTACTGACTTTGTCATCTCATCTTTATCTTAAGTTAGAAGGCTCGTCCTCGAATCCGATGCAATGCAGCATAAAGTCAGTGCAACACCTATTGGGCATGCAAATGAAGCCAGTTGGGGCGAGGTATGATGCTGTATATGTTTGATTTTTTATATACAGTAAAACCAATTAAGTAATTTATTTAATTTTTATTATTTACTAATCATAATATATATATTTTTTTAATTTTGACATGGATCCAAATTACATAATAAATGAATTGAAAAAGGGATGGATCTAACTCAATTTAAGATCTTGGATCGCAAGGATGAATACGGGTATTCGACAAGGTGAATGACCCTACCTTGTTTTGAAATGTACCAAGTAAATTGGGTTGGTAGGTTCAGAAGCAGTATCCGTTAAAAAGAATATTGTTACTTCTTTTAGCTCGTACTAGCAAATTGAAATAATTTAGCTAAAAAACATAAATTGTACAAGTCAAATATAACTCGTCCAAACTTGAAAGACGTGACATGATCTTAACAATAAAGGATTATCTTCTTTCACTATAAATACTAGTCTCACATCATTATGAGAAAATCAGAATTTTTGTATTAGAAAATTTTGAGTTTAGAATTTTCGATCTCTAGCAAATTAAAACAGTTTAGCCCAACGAACCTAAATCCTACAAGTTAAATATGATTGTCCAAACTTGAATGACGTGACATGATCTTAACGGTCAATGTCCATCTTCTTTCACTATAAACACTAGTTTCACATCATTGTGAGGAAATCATAACTTTTGTATTAGAAAATTTTGACTTCAGAATTTTCGATATCTAGCAAAAGAAATCATTAAACTCTTCATCCTAAAACTTTCTCGCTCACACACCAAACAATACGTAAAGGTTCATTTGTTTGAATTTTGACCTTCCACCTATCAAACATATAACTTGTGTCTTGCTAACATTGTGTGCACCTCCTCCTAAGCCTCTCACTATTTATATCATTTCTCCTTGATTGGTTAATTGTTGTTTTCACAAATTATAATACTAGCTTTTTGCATCTTGACTAGCCTCGCGATCAATTGTCCGATCAATTTTCAAGAACCTTCGTCTACACATGTGTTAAGTTCGGTTTCCCTAATTTTAGCAAGGCTTAAGCTTATAAATTTGTGTTCGTAATAAATCTAACACATAAGATTCAACATCAGTTTTTTTTTGAAATTTTGTTGAGCTAAGTTTGAGATGAACTTGAGAAATGAAGTTAGTCATCATTGGACCTATGGATATCATGTCTGGGCTTGGGCTTGATGATCTGAAGTCTTTCTCTACAACAGGATTTAACAATATGGCAAGCAAAGAAAATCTCCAAAAAAAAAAAAAAAAAAAAAATCTCCGTAATTAACTTCTAATTGGATGTGAATAAAAAATAAATAAATAATAACTACAAATAATATTCTATTCATGAACAGATTTTAAATAAACCATAATAATTATATTTGTAAACTAGACTTTGAAAGATGAGTGTTGAATTCTAAACTTTTAACACAAGTCCATCATGATGACATACGCAGTTGCTTTTTGATCGACTCTGTTCATGACCTTAAATATTTTTCTAATATGGTTATTATATTTTTTTCATAATTTTTTATTCTAAATATTTTTTAATGTGACCTCCCTGGTATAATTTTGTTTAATTTTTCGATAAGAAGTTACACGCATGTTGTCACTTTAGGTAATAGGAAAAAAAATTTAATTTCAAAAAATAAAAAAAATCAATAAAATGAAACTAAAAAAAGAAAAAAAATTCAAAATTCTTTTTTAAAATGTGTCAATATTATCTGAAATAATAATCTACCTGTTACGTGTTATCAAAAAAATAGACCAATATCCTAATAACAATTTAGTTTAATAGAGATGTATATTAAAAAATGTCAAAAATACAGAAACGAAACATGTCATTAATGGCAATTTTAAATGATTAATGCTCGTTGTCATGCTGACATAGCAGAAACAACACATATTGAGTAATAGTTAATTTTAGCATGGAAAGAGGGAATTTGAAAACGTAATGCTTTTCTATTATTTTCTGTGGATGGACTTATGCAGTTTGTTTATGCTGATTTTTTTTTTTTTTTTTTGGGGG